AACAGGCTCACCAAAGATCTTTTGCTACTATCACAGATGATTCCAGCACTAAGCTCAAATGGAAGAAAGATTCCCCACAGATGGCCATATCTTTCAGGTGCTTCTGTTTTCAGATGACATTGTCCTTATCCTTACTGAATCAACCGTTGGAACGTTTGATAACCTCCTTAATAAGATCCATTATCACTCAAAAACATGCAGGCTAACTATCCATAATGAAGAAACCAAGTGATGAAAAATGACTATTATCCTAAATGATACATAGTTGGATGACCATCCCACAGCACTGGTTTATCAGTACATATATTATAAACAGATACTGCACAAGAATAACAAACTTGTCCAGAATTGAAGAGGAGAGAGTAGTCTAGACTACCTTTGGGAAATTGTGTAGTGTTTTTAATGACTCTAAATTTATGCCTAGAACAAAAATCCATTTTAAAAGCACCATCTTCTTCTAGTACTGCTAGTAGTATATGCCTGTTTACCACGGCATACCATAGTCTTCAACGAATTAAAGTTTAGGGTCATCCAGAGGGCAATGGAAAGACACATGGTGGGCGTAAGTTCGCTGTAACACTTTACCAACCAAGAATTGTGCAAGAGAAGTGTGTGGACTATGTCATCAGAGACACGTCTAACCAGAGAAGGTGAACCAATGTTGTGGAAAGAGGAAAACATTTATGCAATCTCAAGAGAACTAGAGGAAAGCGTCCAGCATGTCGGTTGGGTCACCTGTGAAGGATTTATGGGAGAACTTGGGCAAGTGTTGTACAGGATGAGAGAGAATGGATGAGTTGGAATCTGCATATCTGCAGACATACCCACATGGATAAGATCATAGATATATTAAAGTCTGAGAGCATCTGTCCCCCACGGTATATTGCAGTAAAATTTTTTTTAAAAAGTTATTAAGCAGCAGCTATGTGCATAATATTTGTTGGTTCTGAAAGAGGCGAAAACTTTAGATAAACCATAGTCCTGCTGTCAAAGAGCTTATACTCTAGAGAAGCCTATGATAGGATGTAAACTTTTTTTTTCAATGAAAGTATAATTTTATTTCTGGATCTTTAAAAATTTTTTCCTTGTAATATTTTTTTTTCTGATTATATGTAAAGACAGTTTTCACCAGTCACTTTTATGAGATTTTGAGTTCCAAAAATTTTTTTCACTCCCTGAGATGGCAAACAATCTGATACAGGCTATACATGTACCATCATATTAAGCATATTTCCACATAGAATGTAAACTTCTTAAGGAAAGGGACTGTTTTTCATTTTGTGCTTGTGTCCTCAGTGCCTAGCAGGGTGTGGTGAACAAAGGGCCTAATCAGTGCATTTGGAATCTAATTAAATTGAAAAGGAGATAAGACATAAACACAACACTTTATAATACTCTATTATGTAAATGCCTTGCAAAGTAGCACAGTTAGGTGCTAGGAGATGTCTAATGAGGTAATTCATTTTGGGGTAGGAGTGGTGTTTGAGTGTGGCTTTGAAGTTGGGTAGGATTTCCATAGGCAAAGGGGGGGGCAGTTGAGGGTATTACAGATAGAGGGAATACCCTGGAAATAAGAGATGGAAACTTGAATATTTTCGGGAAGAGGGTTGTCCAGTTTACCTAGATGTAGCATTAAAGAAACGTAATAATTTGAGAGAAGGTTGGAAAGATAGGGTAGTACCAGGTTGAGAAGAGCCTCGAATGTCAATTATACATGCCAGGAACTTGATAAATGTTTGTCAAATGGATGAATGTAAACAGTTTCCTTCCTGCTTTCAGATTAGGTTAGTGTGTAATTTAAAGACCTGACTCTTTTCTCTGACTGTGTGAGTGGCTAAGTCCCACTTCCTACTAAAGTCCTAGTGTTACAATCTGCTTTGGTGTATACAAGTTTCCCAGGTTGCCTGGGGCGGAGGTTATGTGGATGAGGAGCAAAACATTACCACAACTGTTCTGGGCACAACCTTGCCTTGCCCTGCTCCACCCCCCACCTCCCACTATGGCGCTTCCTGCCCCAGCACAAATTCTTATTGTGAGTAGAGATACCCACAGAAGTCCCAGAAGTCTCTGAGATGTATAGCAAGACATGTAAAGACTTTATAATGCTTTTAATGAACATAATTGAGAATAGCTGGATATCCTGCTTTTTATCTACCAGAGAGGAATAGAAGTGTCCTAATTAATTGAATGAGCCTCAAAGTCCTCTTTGCTTAGACCTTTTTTCACAAATCTCCCTGTAATATATCTTCAGCTGGACACCCTGCCATCCCCTCCAATGCACTGTGTCTGATTTGTGTCCCTAACACCAAACATAGTATCACATGCTTAGTAGATACTCCATAACAGTTTGTTTGATGATGTTCCTAAACGAACTACTTCTTTTCCTTACTCTCCACCCTACCCCCAAAGCAGTTACTCTCCCCATTTCTTTATCTTGGTGGCACCACCATTTTTCTCAAGTGACAAACTTGAAAATCTGTAGTCATCTTTGATTCATCCCTTCCTTTCATTCCTCATAGCCCACTGGGCACCAAGTCCTGTTATTGCTTCTTTCAAAATGTCTGGCCTCTATGACCTTGTATCTGGAATATTGCAACACTCTCCTAGTTGACCTCCCTTGATTCTAGGCTTTGCTCATTCCAATCTATCCTGCCTACCACAGCCAGACAATATTTGCTTTAACTCCAGTTTCATCCAGTTTTGTCACAGGTCAGAAATCTTCAATGGGTCTCTATTTCTTGCTAAATAGTCTAAATTAATTAATTAAATCTAAATTTCTATGACTTCCAAAAACTGACCACCCCACACACCTCTCAAACTGCGGATTCTATGATTCCATGATACACATTCTCTACTCATCCAGTCAAGCTGCCGTTTTCATTATATTGTGAACTTCCCATGCCCATTTTCTGCATTTGAGTTTTCATTCATATTGTGTCTATGCCCAAAGGGGTGGAAAGAGCACTGGGTTTGGAGTCAGCAAGGCCTGAGTTTGAATCCTGCCACTGCCACTTACTAGCTGTGTTACCCCAGGCAAGGCACTACACCTCTTCAAACTTCAGTCTCTTCATCTTTAAAATGGAAAGAATAATAGCACTTGACTTCGGAGTCAGAAATATGTGAGTTCAAGCCCTGCCTCTCACATGTATTTACTGACTAAGTGAATGACCAGGGGCAAGTCAATTTGCTACTTCTTTTCCTTGGGAACCAAGAAAATAAGTTACAGATTAGATGTCATATTTGCATCAGTAGACAAAATTTCCACATCAGGAGCCCAGACCCCTGCCCTGCTCCCCCCTTCCCCCCCCCCCCCCCCCCCCCCCCCCCCCCCCGGTCCACAAAGCTCTTTCACTTGGGTGATCTTATTTGATCCTTACAAAAGCCTTTAGAGGTAGGCAAGGAAGTCGGGTTACTGCCACTTAAGAGGAACTGAGACTGAGAGAAGATAAGAAGCTGGCAGAACTAGATACTGGACCATACAACCTCAAATGGCATTTATAAATGGAGGTTATTGAATTATCATATAATAGTAAACTAATATTGAGATATTAAATACAATAAAGATGATAAAATATGTCATATGCTATTTTAAAATGAAAATTGTCTTTCCATAAGCTGTGTATGGTAAACAATATCATTTTGGAGTTCTTTGAGATCTTGAAAACCTGAGAGTGGATCTTTGCTTTTCCCAGTAGGAGATGGTCCCCTGAATAGCCCAGGTGATCCCTTGTGCACTCAGGTCCACAAACACATTCCTGGTGGAGCCAAGGGCAGCATTCAGTTGGATTGTGCCTATAAAGCTGGAATTGGAGGAGATAAGACACTGAGGAAGGCGTGGTGCCGAAGGCTAAAGGAAGGAATTCTAGTCACAGGAGGAATCTCAGACTGGAGCCGACAGGCATCTGAAACTCCTACTTTGGACCCTGTCATCTCTGGCCCTGACTGGAAAACTCCTGCAGCCATGTCGTCTCCACAGTGCAATTTTGTGAATGCGTTTATATTAAAAGTTAAATATGTCATTGTTGGGCATGATCATTGAGAAACAAACAAGGGAATTATCTATTCAAAAAGTGCATTACAGCAGCATTCAGCATAATTGCAAAAAAGTGGAAACGACCTAAATGTTCCAAAATAGGGGAATGGTTAAGGAAATTACATACATTAATGTAATTGATACTATGTTGCAATTAAAACCCAGTAAATAAAAGGAATATAAAGAAAACTAGAAAGATCATTATGAAATGTGAAGAAAGGGAGAGATATGAAAGAAAGAAGAGAGAGGGAGGGAGAAAGGGAAGGAGGAAGAAAAAAAGGAAGAAAGGAAGGAAGGAAAGAAATAAGGAAGGTAAGAAAGAAAGAGAGGAAGGAAGGAAGGAAGGAAGGAAGGAAGGAAGGAAAGAAGGAAGGAAGGAAGGAAGGAAGGAAGGAAGGAAGGAAGGAAGGGAGAGAAAGAAGGAAAGAAAAAAGAAAGGAAGAAAGAAAGAACCAGAAGAGTGGAATACACGTTAACTACCATTATATGAGGAACAATGAACTATTATGAAAGGACAACGAATTCTAATTTGGATTTAGAGGGAGATACTGAAAAATTGTTATAACACTTTATGTACCAAAATGAATTTAAATGTAAATAGTAAGCAAATTTAGTTGTTCATATTGATATCTAATGTTGAGTTTCTAATTAAAAATCTAATTCAACAAGTCAAATATCTTTATTAAAACCCTGTTTTGAGAGGCAATGTGGTCTAGTGGGTGGAGGGCTGGTGTTGGAGTCATGAAGACCTATGATTAAGAGCTGCTTCTGACATATATTAGCTGTGTGACCATGGGCAAATTATATCTGGACACCCTCCAGTTTGCTAATATCCCTCTTAAAATGAGCTATCCGGAACTGAATATTCAATCAGTGAGTAACATTTATTAAGCAACCACGCCAGTGCCAGGCACTGTGCTAAGTGCTGAGAATACTAAGGCAAAAGAGAGTCCCTGCTCTCAAGGAGTCAGTTAGCCAGTCACTAACCATTTATTAAGCACCAACTGTGTGGTATACACCACACTAGGCAATGGAGATCCAAAGAAAGGTAAAAGACAGTCCCTGCTCTCCAGAAGATCACAGCCTGCTGGGGAGAAAACATGCAACCAATTATGTACAAACAGTCTAAGGTCTTCGAATGTCTCACCGACAGAGAATATGGTAGAATAGCATTTCCTCTGTTTTATGAGGTTTGGAAACACCATTAAACAGACAGAGAAAAGGCAATAGCTACATGGAAGGCACACACCCAGAACTAATTTCTCCAGCATAGTCCTGCTGTTCTAATTTGACAGCGCTCATAAAAAGAGATAAAACAGGCTCCTTTCAGTCTGTAAGCAAATATAGCAGGGCAATCTTCCTACCACAAACAAAAAATATTCAAATTCTACATGGAAAAAATGTATGTAAGGGTCACCTACATTTTTGCATTGAATTTATGTATTATTCTTCTAATGAGAAGGGCCCAAGATCTCCCAAGTTCTGTTCCCTTATGCCCAGAATTCCTTAAGTTTCCCCTTCTCTTCTATTATGTGGGCATCCCTTTCTGCCAAGAGAAGCAACGTTGCATAATGGATACAGCACTGGACTCAAAGTCAGAAAGACCTGTGTTCAAATACCACCTCCAACACTAGAAAAGTCACTAAACTTACCTTGGCCTCCATTCTTGATCTGTAAAATGAGAGAGTTAAAGGTCTCTAAGTTTCCTTCCAGATCTAAACCTGTAATCCTATGTTCCTGTTAACTATTGACAGGACAATTTGGGTCAGCCTAGAAAAACAAATAAATACTAGTTGGTTGCTGGCCTCCAGCCTTGATTTAAAAAAAAAAAGTACTCCAGTCAAGATGTTTCTAGACATTTCAGATAATGGGTGATAAGATATAAAGTAATAAAAAAAAATTCAATGCTGCTTCTTCACAATTAAGAGGTAAGGGTGTAAAAAAAAAAGCCAGGCAAAATACTCTGCGAAATCTAGTCTTCTTGTTTTTCTAAGTCTTGGTTGTTTCAGTTCTGAAGCTACAGAGATAATGAAATTTTAGGGAGCTGACTCAGATTATTTAGTTCCAATTTTATCTAAGTCGAAGGCTCTGGATTCAAATCTTGACTTTGACACATTTTAGCTGTGACCTTGTACAAGGCACTTGGCCCCTGTAGGCCTCAATTTATTTATCTGCAAAATGAGAATTTGGGACCAGATGACCTCTAAGGTCCCACCTAGCCTAAATCTATCATCTAAATCCTATGACAAGATGATTACTCTCTATTGCATTTCCTGTAAATGGTCATTGATACTTGGATATCTCTAATGATGAAAAAGTTACTAGTTCACGAGGCACTCGGTACCTTCTTCAACCCATTCTCTTCACAGATGCAAAACTGGTATTCCTAAAACCCAAGGCCAACCATGTCACTAATTAAAGAAAGTCCAGCACCAACCCCCACCCCTTCCTTCCACCATTGCCCCAAGAATAAAACACATATTAGTTAGTCAATAAGCATTTGTTAGGCACTCAATAGGTGTCAGGCACTCTGTCAAAGACTGGATGTACAAAGAGACAGCAAAAATGGTCCTTGTTTTCAAGGAGCTCGCACCCTAAGGAGGGAGACAGTGTATAAAAAAATAGACCTAGATGAGATATATACAGAGTAAATAGGAGGCAATCCTAGAAAAGAAGACACTAGCAGTTGGTGAGGGTGAGGAGCATATGAGGAAAGGCCTCTTGTAGAGGAGAGGGTTTGAACAGAGTACCAAAAGAAGCCAGGATGGCAGAAACTGGGCATAGACCCAACATCTTTCACTCTATTCCATGATAAAGTCAAAATGGGTCCATGACTTAGATATAAAGGCTGATACTATAAGCAAAACTAGAAGAGGAAGGAATAATTTACCTTTCAGATCTATGGAGAAGGGAAGAATTTATGAACAAACAAGAGATAGAGAACATTATGAAATGCAAAATGAATAATTTTGATTACGTTAAATTGAAAAATTTTTGCACAAACAAAGCCAATGCAACCAAGATTAGGAGGGAAGCAGAAAACTGGAAAAGAATGTTTACAAACAGTAAGGGCCTCTGATAAAGGCGTCATTTCTAAAATATATAGAGAATTAAGCCAAGATAAGAATACAAGTCATACCCCAATTGATAAATGGTCAAAGGATATGAACAGGCAGTTTTCAGAGAAAAAAACTAAAGCTATCTATATAGTCATATGAAAAAAAAAGCTCTAAATCACTATTGATTAGAGAAATGCAAATCAAAACAACTCTAAGGTACCACATCACACCTATCAGATTGGCTAACATGACAAAACAGGACAATGATAAATGTTGGAGAAGATGTGGGAAAATTGGAACATTAATGCATTGTTGGTGGAATTGTGAAATGATCCAACCATTTTGGAGAGCAATTTGGAACTATGCCCAAAGGGCTTTAAAATTGTGCATACCCTTTGACCCAGCAATAGCACTTCTAGGTCTGTACCCCAAAGAGATCATAAAAAACGGGGAAAAGGCCCACATGTACAAAGATATTTATAGCAGCTCTTTCTCTGGTGGCAAAGCATTGGAAATTTAGGGGATGCCCATCAATTGGGGAATGGCTGAACAAGTTGTGTTATGTGAACGTGATGGAAACTATTGTGCTACAAGAAACAATGAGCAAGCAGACTTCAAAAAACCTGAAAAGGCTTACACGAACTGATGCAGAGTAAAATGAGCAGAACCAGGAGAACATTCTATACGGTAACAGCCACATTGTGGGATGACTGACTTTGATAGACTTGGCACTTCACAGCAATGTAAGAATCTAAGACAACTCCAAAAAACTCACAATGGTAAATGTTATCCACATCCAGAGAAAGAACTACAGAGTCTGAATGCAGATGGAAGCATACTATTTGCTCTCCTTTTCCTTTGTTGTTTTGTTTTATTGTTTCATTCTCATAGTTCCTCCCATTAGTTCTAATTGTTCTTTGCATCATGACTCATGGGAAAATATGCTTAATATGAATGTAAAAAATAAATAAATAAAATGAGGGGAAAAAAAGAAACCAGGAAAAACTAAAGCCAATATGAGGATGGAGGGCATTCCAGGCGTGAGAAAGAGTAGTACAAAGATGTGGAGATGGGAGATAAAGTATTCTTGTGTGAGAAAATACAAGTTGGTCAGTCCAGTTGGATCACAGAGGGCATGGAGGCGAGTAAGGTATAAGAAGACTAGAAAGGTAGAAAGGGGCCAGATTATGAAGAGCTTTAAATGTCAAACTGAGGATGTTATGTTTGGTCTTATGGGTAACAGAGAGCCATGGGGATTTATTAAATGGGAGTTGGGAGTAGTGATGTGATCAGACAAATTAAGAAAGTCACTTTGGCAGCCAAGTGAAGGAGGATTTGGAGTGGAGGAGAGACTTAAGGAAGAAAGACTAATTAAAAGGCTGTTCCAATAGTCCAGGCAACAGGTGATGAAACCTCAGATAGTATAGTGGCTGTGTGAGTGGATAGAGGGTGAAATAAACAAGAAGTATCAAGAAGGTAGAAATGACAAAATTTAGCAATAGATTAAATATGTGGAATGAGAGTTGGTAGCATGGGAATAGAGCTCAGGAGAGAGACTAGACTTTTGTGGCCTTTTTGGTTGATTTATTTGTTTGCACATTCATTTATCTAGTTTGCTTTTTTGCATTTACCTTTGCGATTTTCTTCTGGAGAGGAGAGGAGAAAAGAGGAGATGAGAGGAAAGAAGAAAGGGATTTCTCATTTCCATACCCCAAGGCAGCCTGTTGACTGTGACTTGTAGCAGAAGCGTATGGCAAAGATAGGTATGTAATTGTTGACATTGCCTGAGAAGAGAATTCCTAATAGAAGGCTTTTTTTTTTTCGGCCCAAGAGATGGCAGCAGCTGGGATATTGATAGAGTTCCTGCAGAAACATGTGGCAGAGGCAAACATATGCCTACTCACAGAACCTGGGAGAGGACTTTATGGACAAAATATCCGAACCCAAACTCTTATGTAGAAGAGGGAGAACCTTGACTTTCCAGACAATCTGTTGATATCTTGCCTTCTAGACATAGAAGGGGGATTTCTTAGGTAATGCTTTCCTTAGAGGTTGCCTCAACAGTGACAGAATCTGTTTCTCTGAGAGGGATCTCATTTTCAACACTTTTAGGGAACTGATTCAAATTTATAAGTATTTCTTTATAGTTAAAGGAAAGATACAAGCTATCTCTAGCTGTATGAAAAAAATGCTCCTTATCATCAATAACTAAGGAAATATTAAGGAGATCAAATCTGATGCTCTACCTCATACCCATAAGATTGGCAAAATTGCTGTTTGTTGTCCCTGAGGTTCGTCTTTTGTTCTCAAAGAGGATCAAGGTGACAAAAATGGATAATGACAAATGTTTTAGGGCTGCAAGAGAACAGGCATGTTAATGTACTGATGGGGAGCTGCTGAAAAGCACTTTGGAACGATGCCTCAAACGTTGCTAAATTGTGCATACCCTTTGGCCCACAGACACTACTAGGCCTATGAATGAATGAATAATTCATTAAGTGCGTATTATGTGAAAATCACTGTGCTAGATGCAGAGGACATAAATAGAAAGAATTAGATAGTTCCTGCTCTCAGAGAGCTCACATTCTAATGGGGGAGACAAACATGGAAAGTTTCAGCTGCAAGTCAGATGAAAAGATCCCATGGTTTTTAGGGTACAGAGGCAAAGCAGATAGTAATTCCTCTTCTTTCATTCCATTTCCACCAATAAAATAATATCAGTTTCTGACATTGAACTAATTTTCAGTGCCAAGGACGTTCTTTCTTGGGTCTTCAGTAACTGTGGCTGTAGCACCTGGAGGAGCAGTTGCCAGGCTGCATCTTCTTATGGGCAGCTTCTCAGGACGGTGGTTGAGGGCACTTCTATTCCCAAAGCTTTTGGGTGCAGGATCCTGGGCTGAAAAGAAATCAAATAAATACCTGAAGGAAGTCAAATAAGGAGGAAAATGACAGAAACATACAGAAATATTTATAATAGGTCTTTTTATGGTATCAAAGAACTGGAAACTAGGAAAAGGAGGTATCGATCAATTGGAGAATGGTTGAACAAATTGTGGTATATGCATGTAATGGAATACTATTATGCCATATAAGAAATGATGACAGAGGAGATTTTCAGAGATATGTGCAAAGTTTTGCATGAATTCATGCAGAGTGAAGTAAGCAGAACCAGAAGAATAATTTATATAGCAACACTGCAAAGAAAACAATGAAAGCCATAAGAACTCTGATCAACAAAATAGCCAACCATGATTAAAGAGGATTGATGTTGAAATACTCCTGAGAAAGAGGGGTAATGGACTCAGGGTGCAGATTAAGACATATTTTTTTGGATAGATACAATATAGAAATTTGCTTTGCCTGATTATGCATATTTGTTATAAGAACTGTGCTTTTCTTTTTTCAGGTGAAGGGAAAGAGAGAGAAAATAGATTTTTGTCGATTTAAAAAAATTAAATGAAAATTTTTTTTAAAGATTAGCTTCCTGATCGAAATGGGAAAAAAAATTAGTCACAAGTTCGAGTCCTCAAATCTCACCTTCTATCCAGAGAAGGGAAATTTCTTGGGCAATACTAGCCTTTGGGGTTGTCTTGAGAGTAACCTCAAGTTTCAGTGTTCAGGGACCT